ACACACACACACATGTATGCAGCAGAACCTCTGTAAGTTGACCACTCAAGGGACTGTAACAAACTTGTCAACATACAGAGGTGAGGAGCATAAGGAACTAGGCCTGCTGTACCAATACACACATGTGGTGCATGTCTGGTCTATGAACATCTGGTCAACTTGAGGAGGTGGTCAATTGAGATGGAGGTTCTAGAGTGTCTATATATATATAAATATATACACACAAAGTTATATAAACACATAACACACACACAGTGCCTAGATCTGCAGTTCTCTCTCCATGGTCATGAATGTTCATCTTCCTCCAGGGTCTCTGGATGGCCAGATCATGGCTAGGAGAAGTTAGAGATGACCACATAGTCAGTTCAGAATTCTCAGTGGGACCAAGTTGAGTAGGACATTCTCCAGGAAGTAATCAAGACCAGGGTTTTTTATAGTTTGCAAGTAAATGATGCTCTGCCTTCTCTAAATGACCCTTTTTAAGAACATAGCGAGAATTTCACAGCCTTCTCCCTGGATCCGAAAGCTGTCGTAAAACCACTTTTTGTGGGATGGTGTCTCACTGTATTGCCTAGGCTTGTGAAACTGTTGGACTGATGTGATCCTCTCAACTCAGCTTCTAAGTAGGTGAGATGACAGGTGTGAGTCACTGTACTCTGGTGTCATTAAAACATTTTTCTCTGTAGATGGCTTCCAAATATTTGTTACCATGGTGGGCAGAGAAGAACATGGGACTTCTACCGTCTTGATGATTTTATTGTCTCTATATATGTTTTCACCTTCCATTTTATTCTGTATCCAATTTTCTATAATTTTATATTTAAATATTCAGAACTATGTGTTAGAATTTCAACTTAAGTAACAAGTAATTTAGACAATGATTAGGCGTTCCATATGGCCATGGAGCTGCCGCTACAGGGCTAAGCAGGTCCAGCCCACTGGTTCCACGGCAATGTTGGGCTACCTGTGCCACCCTGGTGCCACCCTATTGTCTGAGCCCAGAGCCTCGTCTTTTTTTTTTTTGAGACAGAGCCTTAAGCTTTTACCCTTGGTAGAGTGCCATGGCTTCACTGCTCACAGCAACCTCTAACTCCTGGCCTCAAGCGAGTCTCCTGCCTCCGCCTCCCAAGTAGCTGGGACCACAGGCGCCCACCACAACGCCCAGCTAATTTTTTTTTTGTTGCAGCCATTATTGTTGTTTGGTGGGTCCGGGCTGGATTCGAACCCGCCACCTTAGGTGTGTGTGGCTGGAGCCTTAGCTGCTTGAGCCACAGGTGCCGAGCCCAGAGCCTCATCTTTCCCGACTGTTTTGGCTATGGAAAGGGGAAGTGTACTAAGCAAAGTCTATCTGGAGCCCACCACACACGTTTTGGAGGTGACAAACTTCAAGATCTTAAAGAGGCAAATCCATTCTCTTTAAAAATTTCTGAAAACCAAGAACCTCAGCTTGTCCAAAGAAAATACAACCAACAGAATTTATTCAAAGGAAGCCTCAGGCAATCAGTAATACTGGATCACAACTCTCCGACCAATTAGCGGGTGGGATATGACCTGGATTATCAGCAGCCATTTTCCGAAGACCCAACAGGAGCTGACAACCTTCTAGATGAGGAGGAAGATGAGGATGATGGGTGGACTGGATCCTATCTGCCATCCACCATGGAGCAGACGCACTCTGCAAGGGTCACCACCAGCACATCACCCTGTGGCACCTACCTGTCATTTTTTTTCCTCTCCGTCGGAGCCGATGGGGTTCAAGTCTCTGCCCCCTCGTGGACATTGAGTGACACAGACTCTCGTGTCTCTGGATCTCCAGCGGGGAGTCCTGGCACAGACTTTGCAGATCACAGAGAGTTTCTGGGAGACTGACACCTAAGGACACTGCAGATAAGTTATGAGAGGTAGATGAAAATGCTAAGCTAAGAATAAAGCTGAATGAGGGTCAGAGCTTCTCTGAAACTCAAACAGAAATGGTGAGGACACTGGAGCAGAAATTAGAAGCAAAAATGATCTAGGAGAAGAGTGACTACCATAACCTGGAGTCAGTGGTTCAGCAGAAATGGGATGTAAAGACAGAAAATCATGTCATGAAACTGAAACAGGAAATAAATTTGCTCCAGGCTCAGGTCTCCAACTTCAAACGTGAGAACGAAGCTCTGAGGTCAGGCCAGGGCGCCAGCTTGACTGTTGTGAAGCAGAACATGGATGTGGCCTTGCAGAACCTCCAGGTGGTCATGAACATAAAGCAGCTAGTTTCCAGATCCAAAACGTCGAATCTTCTTGCCAAGATCCTTAAATCTATAGACAGAATTTCTGAAATTAAAGACAAGGAGGACTCCTGAAGAGCATT